TTTAATTTTTTAAATTTTTTAAAATTTGTTTATTTATACAAGCACTGGGTACAGTCAGAAGCGCGGGAGGGTGAGAGAATTCACCAGAGCCAGAGCAGGGAGCAGAGCAGGCAGATTGACGAAGTACACTGCTAAGGGGAGCAGCGGGCAGCAGGAGAGCTCTGCGCGCCATGTGGGACCCTCTCCGGTGCCCGGGGATCGAACCAGCGCTGCAGAGGCTGTAGGCAGCTTCGCAACCCAATGCTCAACCGCTGCGCGACAGGGGAGGCCCTAGTTGAAGATTTTGAGGAGTGCCATGAATTGATTTTCATTATTCAATGATAGCTACAAATGTGGGAGATAGGTTCTATGGGAACAAGGAGGGAAGCAGAGAGGCAGGTTGAGACCAGAGTGGTATCCCAGGCAAGCATTGATGGAGTTTGAGCAAGGGGGACAGCAGTTGTGCTAAGTTGTCTGATTCTGAATCTACTTTGAAGGTAAAACCACTAGAATTTTCTGAAATTGAGTTTATGCGTGAGAAAAAGAAGTCTAATATGACTCCAAAATTTTTGACCTAAGAAACAAAAGTTTTGACAAATTTCCTGTGCTTAAAAGTCCCTGTATCAGCTATTTTTAGACCATCACTAAAGAACACTGCGCTCACCAAGTCCCACACTATACACTGCTGTATTTAAATTCACCAACTGTGCTAGGTTCGCACTTCTGGATTTCCAGAATGTGTATCTCCTCTTGACTGTAAACATTCTTCCTTCTCTCTTGCCACTCCAACCTCTGTTTCTCCAATCTGTTTCTCCTTCACTTCCACAAATTCCTCAAGTCTCAGCTTGGAAGACACCCCAGAAAACATTCTCTGACCTCTTTATCCTGGGAACTTCCTCTGCTATGAGCTCCCACGCACCCTGCACTTCTCTTTCATAGCTGACATCACTGTACTTTACCAGCCTCCAATTTGTGTCGGGTAGGAAGTTTATATTTACAACAATATATCATTAAAGCTTAACAAGAGTATTCTGCACAGTGTATGTATTCATTAAATATTTAAAGATATATTAAATAGTTAAATTGTTTAGTGTACTGTAATTTGTTGGAATCATGCAGCTACTGAAAATAGGAATTATAAAAACAGTAATATGTGAAAATATTCATTGTATAAAGGAAAGAAAAATTGTGCATACATAATTATAACTATTATAACTACCAATGAATATGACTGGAGTTTAAAAAGGTATATACAAAATAAAATGGACAGGCAATTTACCAGATATTTATCTTTCTGTCATATTTTTTAAATGTTATCAAATTAGAATCTCTTGAATTGTGTTGAAACATATCTATAAAACAGATAAGGAAAATAATGATACAATTAGCAAACAAATGCACTGTTTAAGAAAAATATACATAATCATTGAAATCATCTAGGTATCCCTCTGCTATCCAAACCCTTATCCTCCCTGCAAAGTTAAACACAATCCTGAAATTTGGGTTTTTAATTTCACTACTTTATCATTTACTCTAATATTGGTATCTCTAAACATTAAAGATATAATATATATTGCATTATAATATATATGTTCCACACTATATATTTATGCTATTTTATAAATATTTAAATATTTTATAGGGCCTCCCCTGATGGCGCAGTGGTTGAGCGGTGGGCTGCAAATCTGCCCGCAGCCTCTGCAACGCCGGTTCGATCCCCAGCCGCCGGCGAGGGTCCCACATGGCACGACAGAACTCTCCTGCCGCCCACTGCTCCCCTCAGCAGTGTATTTCGTCACTCTGCCTGTTCTGTTCCCCGCTGTGGCTCTGGTAAATTCTCTCACCCTCTCGCACTTCTGACTGTACCCAGTGCTTGTATGAATAAATAAATAATCTTTTAAAAAAATAAAAAAATAAAAATATTTTGTATTGTATAGCATCTTAAATCCTTGTGTGCACAATGTATTTGTATAGATATATGTGTATGTGTAAATATATGTATGTACACACACACATGCATATTTACTATTTCTCTAAGATATGCATCCAGAAATGGAATTGTTGTATTACAGGATATGTGTAAGTGTTCCATTTATGTTATTTTCCAAAGTGGATACACTAGCCCATTAGCGCTAAGTTAGAGGTTATACCACTCTATTGTCTTGATATTGTCAAAGTTTTTTTTTAAAGATTTATTTATTTATGCATACAAGAGCTGAGGTACAGGCCAGAGGTGTGGGGGGTGAGAGGATTCACCAGAGACTGAGTGGGGAGCAGATCAGGCAGACTGACTGAAATACACTTCTGAGGGGAGCAGTAGGCAAGACAGGAAAGGTCTGCCTCACCATGTGGGTTTCTCCCTGGCCGGCCAGGGATCGAACTTGTGCTGCAGAGGCTGTGGATTGCTTCATTGTGCGGTGCTTAACCCCTTGCGCCACCACGGAGGCCCCTATTGTCAAAGTTTTTAACTTCACCAATTAGATGACATTCATTTGGCTTGCTTTCTTTTTGATCTTTAAAAGCTTTTATTTTGAAATAATTATAAATTTACAAGTTGCAAAAACAGTACAGAGAGCTATAATGTATCTGTTGGGTCAATTTCTCTCAAAGGTAACATTTAATTAATTATAATACAATAGCAAATCTGAGAAATCCACAAAATTATTCAGATTTGTTTTACAGGAATTAATTTGTGTATGTAGATGTGTTTCTATGAATTTTAATACACGTGCAGACATATTCAAATCACCATTACCACAATCAAGATATAAAAACTAAGCCATCACCACGAAGATGTTGCTAAAACTGAACATTATAGTTACAGCCACCTAACTACCACTCATATTCCTACATACCGGCAACCACAGTTCTGCTCTCCAAAATATTTTCACTTCAGAAATATTACATACATGGAATTATACAGTATGCAATCTCTTAATTGCCCTTTTTCCCCAAAGTAAACTTTTGTATACTTGATGTCTTAATAAAACCACCACCATCTCTGACAAAACTGTCACTGATCATAACAGCAAAGACTGTTGATGAGACAGAATGACTAAGAAATTGCCAGGAACTTTGAGATTTTCTATAGGCCCACAGTGGTTTGTGACATTTTCTAAGCAGTACTGCTAAGCAATTGAATTAAAACCCCTTGCTCTCAAAGCAAAGTCCTTGCTCTTGTATTCCTGATGGGGTTAACTATTTTCAATATGAAGAAATGTTTAAAGCATATGTGCTCCAAATATCATGAGACAAGTCATCTACAATGACAAGTTATAATCTTCTACCAACTGAAGCATAAATTGGTAACAAAGTTTACAAGTATTGCACACAAAAAATTTTTGTAACTAAATTCATAACTATTGTAATGAAGTTCATAAATACAAAAAAGGGCCTCCTCAGTGGCGCAGCGGGTTGAATGCCACACTGTGAAGCTGTCCGTGGCCTCTGCAGTGCGGGTTCAATTCCTAGCCAGCCAGGGAGAAACCCACATGGTGCAGCAGACCTCTCCTGTCTCACCCACTGCTCCCCTCAGCGGTGTATTTTGTCCTTCTGCCTGTTCTGCTCCCCACTCTGCGTCTGGTGAATCCTCTCACCCTCCCGTGTCTCTGGCCTGTACCCCAGTTCTTGTATAAATAAATGCATCTTTAAAAAAAAATAATAAATACAAAAAAAGAATTTTACAATAGCAGAATAGTCTTCCCTGCCTGCATCAGATTTTAGAAATGTGTTTGAAATTATTAACCAACATTTCAACAAATAGACCAGAGTTGGAAGGAGGGGGTCTTCAGATTCGAAACTGTTCTTTAAGAGACATAGAATGTGTCATGAAAACACAGAGGGAAGACACCACGTAAGGACAGAGGCTGAGGTTTTGCAGTTACAACCTAAGGAACACCAAGAATTGCCAGTACAACCGGCAGCTAGAAGAGCATGGCTCTACAGCACCCTGATTTCAGATTTATAAGCTTTAGAATTTTGAGGATAAATTTCCATTGTTTGAAATTTGCGGTCCTTAAGAAAAGAGACACATCTATAATCCCAACCTATAATATTTCATTTTGTGGGAATAATCTTTGAAGATCTTCTTTTCATAAATTTATATTTTATAACATAATGGAATATCATTAATAAGGCCTGTAATTTTACTGAACGTAAATATGGCCCCCAATTTTTTTTAAATCATAAATAGGCTTAATTTACTTGATGACTTTCATCTCAAGTATTTGCCAAAGAAACGTACTGTGAAAGGAGACGCAAAGATAGCACCCATGAAAATAATTGGCAGAAATAGCTTCACACTTCAATATTAGAAAAACTAGAATTGATCCTGCGGCGCCTGCTGCTCCCCTCAGCAGTGTACTTCATCAGTTGTGATGCCTGTTGTGTTCCCTGCTCTGGCTCTGGTGAATTCTCTCACCCTCCCGCGCTTCTGATGTATCCAGTGCTTGTATAAATAAATAAATCTTTAAAAAAAAATTATTTAAAAAAAAGATAAAAAAAGAAAAAAAAAGAAAAATTAAAATTGAGACTATTTTCCATTCAGTATAGTTTGCTTAGAGCTTGCCAGGTGTTCTGGCATTTGTAAGAAAGTATTTTGAAACTAAAAAGACATTCTAGAGAAGTGTCGCTCTGCAACTTTTAAGAAAGCTCGTGAATTTTAAAATTAAGTAAAAGATTTTATTGACAGTTTTTTTGTTTTTGGAAATGATTAATATCAAGGTGTTAAAGGAAGATATGGCAAGAAACTAATTCAAGTACATGAACATGTATTAAGAATTCAGCATGTGTTCGAAGTTTATATTCACAGAATCAACATAAAAATTAAATATATTAACATAAAGTTAATATAAAATTTTACATTGTTTTAAGGTAAAAGGATGTACATTATTTACTAAAACGTAAGTCACATGTGAAATGTTATTCTCATTAATGTCCCTTTTTTACTCTGAAAATATTTGAGGGTAAGCAAACATTGGTTTGGTCAAAAACCAATGGTTTGTTCAAAAAGTTAGAATTACCTGGTCATTAACACACATCAAAATGCAGTCAATTTGATGCCTTAATTCTTCATATAAAGCAGTCATCAATTGCCTAGGATGACATTTCCTACAAAGGCAGAAATATTGTGAGCAGCCCCCAAAGAAGGCAGGACAAGGATTGCTCCCTTTTAGTACTTTATTCTACCCACATCATTAGCATTGCTGGACTGGCAATAATTGTGACTTCAATAGAAACCAAAAAATCATAGCAGAAGAGAGGTGGAGGGGTTTAGGGTTTAGTAGGGCAGCATAATATAGTACAAATTACTCAAAGTCATTAGTATTGACTGTCATTAGTAGCAGGTTGTAGTCCAGACTTAAGGTTGTACAAGTCACTTAACTGCTCTCAAAGGCAGGCAATTTCCTTCTCTATATATGTAAGAATGTTCTCAGCTGACCTTTCATAAGAGTATTTGGTTGAGTTGATTGGTCGCCCAGCAAAAATGGCTCTCTCCTAGTTTGTTTAGTAACAGATGGAAACATGTTCAGATAACTAGGGGTAATTGGAGATCAGAAAGCATTTAGTGTTGTTTCTCTCAGCTTGTTTGACAATACCTCCAGAAAATAAACTAACCATCCTAATCTATAATTACTGGCACTAAATGAAGTATTTAAATAACTAACGCAAAATTAATAAAAATAAGAAAAAAATACAATCACTACTTCCCTTGTATATCAAAATATTCCTCCACAAAACAGTAAGGTAACAAAGTCTCAAGATCAACAATATATTTAATTTATATACTTAGCATCATATTCTATATACAACTAGGGTTTAATCTCATTAACTTTAATTAGACCTGCAATAAACTTCTGATCTATAAAGATGAAAAAGGCTAATACTATTATTAGAACCTCCACAGGTAGAGGTCCTAACATAGTTTAATTGCTTTGTATCTTAGGACACAACTTGGAGATTTTGAGTTGGAATTCACGAAATGATAGAAATGGAACCCAAGGTAACTTGGGCAACATCATACATGGAATAAAATCAATCACTCTTACTAAAAATCTTTTGAAAGCATGTTTTTAAAATAAATTAAAACTTACAAATGTTAAGTTTATGGACTTTTGGGAAACCATTTCAATTCACATGCTAAATATTCTCCCATATACAACATCAAGGTAATTTTATCATAAATTATAATTTTTAAATCAGTAAAAAGTAAAACAACTTCTTTTCATTTTATGATTCTGGTATTCAATTTTTTAAACTTATTAACGCTTTCAGGACCTTAACATGTAAATTGAAACATAAGTAGCTATGAGAAAACACTGATGTTTTTTCAAACTGCCACAACTTTTTATGCTGAGCTTTGTACCACAAGAACAGTTAGGCAGTCTGTTGAACTCTATAGACACCTTCCCAGAACAATATTTGAAAATGTTTCATATAAAACACATAGTTTACAAGGGAAATGTTTTACTTAAATAGCTATGAAAGTTATTAAAAAAAATAACAGACTCCAATAACAAGACTCTAGTAACTACTACAATATCAAGGTATTGAAGACTCTGTTTTCAGATCTCTGCATCAACTCTGTGATATTAAAACATCTGTGGTTTTTATTAGGAACATCATAAGCACTGATAATATCACTGTGTTGTTTTCAGTTTTCACAAATGAAAAAAATGCTAAATTTATTAGACGTTAGAACCTCCCATCCCAGTTTATAGATTCCCTGAATTCTATCTATGAGGTTGCAAGTCAAGAACACCCTATATTGAGAGAATTGACAACATAATGTTTAAGCATTATAAATTGCAAAATTAGTTTTCTTGACAGAAAAATTCTGAGTTGTAGAGGTATGTCAACAATTATATAAATTCCTAATAAAGCAAAATGGTGGGCAGATTATGTAGTTTAAACTCTATGTTCACCATTCATATACTATGTGAACTTGGACAAGTTGTTCAATTTCTGTAAACCCGAATTTCCCAATCTATTAAGTGGGAATAGTAACAATGACTATTTTTCCTTCAGTTAATGTGAGCATTGAAGGATAAACTGCATGAAAAATTTCAGCAAAGTACTTAAGACAAAGTAATGAATCATTGAACAGTAATAAAATTGATTTTTTAACACATCTGGATTACTGAAATGAAAGCTATTACTTGTGAAGTTAGTCATAAACAGGCAAAAGAGTGTGGAGGGAACATTTAAAATGCATATATATGTATGTGTGTGTATGTGTATATATACACACTTTAGATTTACTGATCTTTGTGTGGTCTTTTGTTTCTATTATCATTTAATGATAATAATTACAGAAACCTACAGAGGTCAGATGATTAAATAAACAAACTTGGTTGGTATGATGTTGATGAGAACATGACCTGAATCTAAGAGTAAATTATTTCATATGTTCCAAGGACTAGACATTGAACAATAGCAAGGTGGTTAAATAAATTATGGCCAATTGACTTAATGTGATATGATGCAGTCAATAAAATATTAGTAAAAACAATGGCAACATGAAAAATGCTTATGATGTAATATTAAGTAGAGCAGCTGGAAAAGCCTTCCTGGATAATAACCATCCCTGAGTTCTCCAAGGATACTTAGGAGAAATTTACTTTGATTTGTAAATTCCTCACACAGCAAGGCAATAAAGAAAAAAATTAATCACTAAGAATTTTTTTTAACTTTTTGACTGTTAAGGTAATTTGCTTTGAGAAATAAGTTGCCATAGATAAAAGGGCTTAATTTAGTTCTTTGACATTAATTACATTTTCTTCTAATTCATAATTTACTAAGTAAACAAGAAAACCTCACTGCAAATTTTCAAAGAAAACATTGAGGGAAAAATGTTAAAGGAGACCTCAAGATTTTTAACTTTCAAACTTGGTCAAACATTATTACTTGAAATTCCATTTATTAATATAAAATTCCCCACTGAAAAAGGATTTATATGTTCCAATATTATATGTATCTAATTAGTCAAAAATATGAAAAATACTTTTTCACCTATGGCTTTATATAACTCAGAAATAAATCCATTCATTTAAAATACTCAATGTGATTGTGGAGCTTATCAAACCCAAGGACAATTTCTAGCAACAATTAACATTTAAGGTTCAAATTTCAAGTCAATAGGTTATGTCAGATTTAAACCACATTCACTATGAAGAACTAGATAAGAAATGTGTTGTTATATGTAAAAAAAAGATGACTGAGGATGGGGTCAAGTGGGGAGGCAGACAGTGGCGAACTCTGGAAGATGGAATCTCTTCTCTCTGCTGGTCCTAGAAGAGAAAAGAGACACCAATAAGCATCAACACACTGTCCGAATTCCTCCCCACCCGAGACCCAACAGTCCACAGGTGTGTTTCTCAAGCTTACAGACAAGCTCACCTTCCACCTTCAGATGTAATATTTGGTGCCAATGGGATGTCAAAAATATCACCCTATCTTAAATTAATTGGCACTGCATTAAAAAATACAAAGTAACAAAAGTATTGCTTATTTTTACACAGTTATAATGTGCATCATTCCAGGCTGAAGGCAGCTGGGTTGAACATAATACTGCTTAATTATATTAAGGGTAACTTTTCAAACCTATTATATTCAATTATTGTAAAGTATAAAGAAGTCATTAAATATAATAAAAAGTCTGAATTATCCAGGAGTGAGTGAGAGTGTGTGTGTGTGTGTGTGTGTGTGTGTGTGAGAGATGTCTGAGCTGTAGTAACTGTTGTGACTCCCTTTCCAAGTACACAGTGATGAAAAGGATAGGGGTTCATGCCAAGCATGACTTTGTTACCATCTTGTTGATAAAGGGAAATTAATCAGCTTTTATAATTTGAAAAAGAATATCCTCATCCTGGAAAGAAGCCCTTCAACAACTGAAATCCAAAAAAAACCCCACCTAAATAGAATGACTAGAGTAGTTAATTCACCCAATTCTGCAACACAAATAGAATTCTACAGAATCTCCTTTTCCTAGATAGTGGAGTTGGTAACTCCAATCCAACTGGCAATTCTTTCAGACACTGAGAGAGCTTACTAAACTAGAACTCTGAGTCACTGCTCTTTTCTCTCATATCTCTTGGAAGACTACTCCCTAGACACCACCTTCAATTAAACCCTATAGGAAACATTTTTATTTCAGACACTGAAGACTAAAGTTCAAATGCATGCATCAGAGTTAATCAATTTAAATTAAATTAACAGTGGCTATGTTTCCACACTTTCTTCGGGGAATCGTGCTATGCACTGGGAATACAAAAAGACTAATAAAACACAAATCCCTGGCCATATAAAGTAGCAATGAAAGCGCATTACACAAAGTCCTAAAAAGTCTAAAAACAATCCCTCTTGGAGTCATTGGCTTTATTTTTAAACTTGAGTTTGCAACTTCTGCAAGGAGATGAAGGGAGGGTAAAATGCCCCTGGGCAACACCGCAGAAGAGTTAAAATGCACCCGTTTGCATTCAATACAAATACACGTTGTTAGCTGGCAACAAGATCTAAATAAAAAGAATCTAAGATAGAACTTCGCTCAAAATTGAAAGAGGTTTGGGAAGCAGCTGCCTAAAGAGAAAAACTGAGAAGTCAAAATTAATGTCTGATTCTAGGAGAGTTATAAGAAAGAACTTAATAGAACCCCCAGCCCTGGAATTCACGAACTGAAACAAGAGAAAACCATCAAGACAACGCCCACTCCTTTGTTGACGAAACACAACCGCCGAAACAAAAAGAAACGTTTAGAACAAGCATGCCCTGTGCCCGTACGGCACCTCCTGAGAGCCTCAAATTTCCCAAATGACTGAAAAATGGGAAGTTCAGACGCTGAAGGCAGCCCAGAGGCGAGCGCGTCCGAGCGGCCGGGCTAGAGGTCAAGGCCCGCCTCGCCCCGCAGCCCGGCCCGCGCCGACGCCGCTCCCCCCGCGCGGCTCCCACCGGGCGCGCGGCCCGCGGGGCTCCGGCTCCCCGGGGCGCACCGACCTCCAGCCGCTGCTGCGAAAGCTCCGCAGGGCGCCCCCGCCCAGCGCCGGCGCTCGGCCCAGGCGGCCGCGGAGCAGCGACAGGCCTCGCGCGAGCTCGAGCATGGCCGCCGGGCCGCGGCTGCCGGACGGAGGCCCCGCTTTCCGCCGCTCGCCGCCTAGCCGCTGCAGGCCTGGCTCCCGGTTCCGGACTCCGGGCTCCCCAGTCGCAGCAGCAGCCTGTTCCGGGGCGCCATGCAGGGGCGGGGCCAAGAACCAAGTTCAGGGCCGGGGGCGGGGCCGAAGGAACTCCTGGGCCGCCAGGGGCGGAGCAGGCGAGGCCGGGAGCCGCGGCCGGCGCGGGGAGGTTCGCGCGCCGCTTGGCAGCGGCTGGCGCTGCGGCCTGGCAGCCGGGCTTGGAGCCCACCCCGCACGCCTCTGACCTGCCCACGGTGCGGCCACTGGGAAGTGGTCGCTAATCATTCCAGAGTCGTTCTGTCAAGCCAGGGTTTCTATCCAACAGCCTCCAAGGAAGTGAAATAGTAAGGGTGTTTCTGGTTCTTTGCTTCCATTTCCTTAGTGTGACCTTGGGACACCTTGAGGTCTGGAGGAAAAGAAAAGATGCGACTGTGTGGAGCGAGCAGGGGGACCTACCTGAACAAATCCTGGAACTTAGAGTTTCTATAGCTCTTCTTTTGTTTTTTAAAGATTTATTTATTTATACAAGCACTGGGTACAGTCAGAAGTGCGGGAAGGTGAGAGAATTCACCAGAGCCAGAGCGGGGAGCAGAGCAGGCAGACTGACGAAATACACTGCTGGGGGGAGCAGTGGGCCCGGCAGGAGAGGTCTGCGTGGCATGTGGGACCCTCGCTGGCAGCCGGGGATCGAATCGGCGATGCAGAGGCAGCGGGCAGATTTGCAGCCCAGCGCTCAACCACTGCGCCACTGGGGAGGCCCTCTATAGCTCTTTATATCTTCTCCGCTATGGGGTTGCTGAGGACCGTGACACCTGAGGGTCCTTGGAGTCTCTCGTGAAAAGAACTTCAGGAAGCAGCAAAATGAAGTCGGCAACAAGGTTTATTAGGAAGCCTTAGAGCAAAACACTGCAGAAGCAGTGAACAGCTGTCTCAGAAAGCTGGAAGGCTGCACTGAGCAGTACAGCAGTAGGGTTGTAAGGTTTCTCCTTTCTGGATGGGGAAGGGTACTTCTTTATTATGCATACTTTGCTCCTATCTCTCCTGATTACGGGGTTAATTGGAACTACCCTCTCTTCCTCTTTTGGAGTCCAGGGGATCTAGAAAAGTCTCTTCCCAGATTTGCCAGACCTTATCTGGTCCTTGAAACAAAGCAAAAACCCTCTTTGGACTGTGGAATTGCAGACATGCAGCTGTGCTCCTTGGGAGAATGTGTGAGAGCTCTTTTCTATCCCTGACAGTAATGAAAAATTAGCAAATGTCTATCCTTTACCTGAGTCTAAAATTAGCTAACACAGCCTAGGAATCTTCATTGCGTGACTTTGCAGTAAGAATTTGCACTTTGAAAAAGTGAAAATCAGACTGGTCATCCATTATGCTGTAATACCAGACAAAAATACCAAATACCAAATTTAAAGCATATTTCTTCCAAGCTCATTGCAATGGTGAAGTGTCCTAACAATCCCAATTGAATTCTTCCTGAGGCTCCTTATTGTCTAAAATCATAGACTGTCAAAAAATTGGCTATTTAAAATCATACCAATAAGAGTGAAATATCCTACTCTTGCCTAGAAGATCTAAGTCAATTTGATACAAAGAAAGGTTTGGTACAGAGCTTCAGATGAGGAATTTTTGGACTCATTCCATATATATATATATCTTGGTCAATTCCGGTTCTTCTGCATTCCAACCAAGTGTTGGCCTCTTTACACAAAACTCTTTTTTGCTTTAAGCCAACCAAAATACTGCTTCGTTTAGATTTGAATCTACCCTTCTCCAAATCCTACAGTAACCCTATATCTTCTTTTATTTGATGAGGTTCTTTTGGGTTGCTCTGGTAGGTAGTTTCCCTCATTACAAGGAACCACTTATATTAACTTTGTCTAGCTATAGGATTCTCTCTGATGTTTGTAGTCTTACTAAACTAGGACAACAGCTGCAGATGATTGTCTTGCAGGAAAGGAGATATTTCTTTCCAGGAGCAGTTGTCAGTCTAGATGAATTGGCAATGTTTTGTGCTCTCTTTGGACAGAGAAAGGTCTACACTACCTAAGGTTAAATACTACATACTCCACTTTCATTGCACGTCTGTAATGCCTAGCATAGTATTGGGCAGCATGGGTGTTAAGTAATTTTTTTTAAGATTTATTTATTTATGCATATAAGAGCTGGGACACAGGCCAGAGGTGCAGGGGGTGAGAGGATTCACCAGTGGCAGAGTGGGGAACAGAACAGGCAGACTGACTGAAATATACTGCTGAGGGGAGCAGCAGGCAAGACAGGAAAGGTCTGCTGTGCCATATGGGTCACCTCCCTGGCTGGGGATTGAACTCATGCTGCAGTTGCTGCAGATAGCTTCATAGTGCTGCAACTTAACCCCTTGTGCCATCAGAGAGGCTCCTTATTTCAGACTTTTAGACCTCACTTTTATGAGAAAGGTTCAACTCTATACTCTACACCTCTGGGTGTGAGTGGCAGCTTTGAGTCAACAATAACAGCCCTGGAGTCAACAAAAACAGGAGCCTGCACAGCAGTCACCCTACCTCTAGGAATTATTCTCCTCTGGCATCACTCTAAACAGTTTAATGCTAGTTTTTCCTACCACTTCCTATCATCACTCCTGACATACCCTACAGTCTTTAGCTATATTCAGTAGTTTTTGATTTTGCTTTGTCATAATTTGGTTGTGAATATGTGGAAGAGGCAAGTTGGAATCTTTCACCATCATCGTTTTGCCAAACTCCCATTTTCATTTGTGTTTTTTTTTAAGATTTATTTATTTATACAAGCACAGGGGTACATGCCAGAAGTGTGGGAGGGTGAGAGAATTCACCAGAGGCAGAGTGGGGAGCAGAACAGGCAGACAGATGGAAGACACTGCTGAGGGGAGCAGCAGGGCAAGACAGGAGAGGTCTGCTGCAACATGTGGGGAACTCCCTGGCCAGCCAGGAATCGAACCCTCACTGAAGAGGCTGCAGACAGCTTCACAGTGCTGCACTCAACCTGCTGCGCCACTGGGGAGGCCCCCATTTTCAGTTTTTTAAGGTCAGTCCAGATGGTTTTCCAAAATTGCTGACCGTCTTACTTTTCCACCAACAATATGTTTCCGTGCCTCTTTGTCTACATTCTCTTTAGCACTAGCTATTGGGGGTCTCTTTAATATTTGGCAATCTCACAAGTTTGAGATGATATCTCAGTGGGAATTTGACTTGATTGTCCATATTAAAAGTGATGAGAGCATTTTTCCATATATGCATTCACCTTCTTTAGATCCTCTGTCTTTTCATATCTGCTGCCCAGTTTTTAATTGGGCTACTTACTTAAATTATAATTATTTCTTACTTAAATGTTTGATAGAATTCACCAGATTTTATATTTCTCCTTGTGTGAAGTTTGGTTGTTTGTGCCTTTTTAACCATTGGTTCATTTCATTGAAATTATGGAATCTGTGGGCATAGAATTTTTCATAGTACTCCTTTATTACCCTTTTAATCTCTGTGGTATCAATAATGATGGCCTTTTTCATTAATGGTATTAGTCATTTGAATTCTCTTTCTTTTTTCTTTGTCAGCCTGCCTAAAGGTCTATCATAACTAAATATAGACGTACTTGATAAAGCAATTCTTTTTCTTGGTACATATCCAAGAAAAATGAAAACATATATCCGCAAAATATTTATACCTGACTGTTCATTGAATCTTTCTGTTCATTGCATCTTTACACATAATGTCCAAAGCTTGGAAACAGCTCAAATGTCTGTCTGTCTTTCTTTCTTTCTTTCTTTTCTTTCTTTCTTTCTTTCTTTCTTTCTTTCTTTCTTATGCATTTATTTATGCATACAACAACTTAAATGACTTCCTTCAATAGGAAAAAGAATAAGAAGATTTTGTTATAGTATGATAATGAAATGTTTCTCAACAATAAAAAGGAACATGCTATAAATACAAAACAACATGTGTGAGTTTTAGAGACATCATGTTGAGTAAAGGAATCCAGTTGCAAAAAGATGGCTATTGTATGATTCAGTCAGAAAGTGCAAGGAAAGGCAAAATGAATCATTTATGATAGAAATCAGAAAAGTGGTTTCCTGGGGTGGAGAAGGAGGATGATTGAGGGATGGAACATCATTGACTCTAAATAAATAAAGACACAAGGGAATTTTAGGGGATGATGAAAATGCTTTGTCTTTTGAAAGGGGTTTGGATGTATATGTATACATATTTTTCAAAATTCAATAAATATTATGCTAAAAGATCTGTGCATTTTGATATGTGCAAATGCTATCTTAATTTAAAAAAAATGCATCAACAGTGCCTAGCTTTGCAGGTAGTGGCCAGAATTTAAGCTTATCTTTGCAATTAAAGTTAGTTTAGAAACGAAATTCTTAGTCTCTGTTCAAGATTCTGATGTGTTCTGTAAGTCTTCATGAAATTATGGAAGTGATGTTGTTAGATTGTAGGTAGGGCATAAGAACAAATTATCAATATGAAGAATGAAAGTTATCACTGCAGATCTTAAAGGCATTGAAATGTTAATAAATTAACAATATAAAAAAGCTTTAATACGATATATTTGACAAACTCAATAAAATAGACAAATTTAAGAATATGATTTCAAAAACTGATCCAAAAGGAAATATTAAATAATTACAAATTGAAAAAAAAGAAATTAGTAATTAATAGCCTCCTCACAAAAAACCTCCAGGTCTAGTAGGTTTTTTTTTTTTTTAAGATTTTTTTTTTTTTAATAGAGGCATTTTTTATTTATTTATTTGTTTGTTTGTTTTGTTTATACAAGCACTGGGTACAGTCAGAAGCACGGGAGGGTGAGAGAATTCACCAGAGCCAGAGCGGGGAGC